AGAATATTAAATATATTAAATTGAAATTTAATTGAAACTTGTTAAACTAAAATCATTTTGGTTTTTACATATTTATTGAATAAAGCAAACAAATCAATTAAATCTAGTTTTTGAAGTGCTCAAAAATTAATAAATATTTGAAGTCGCGTAGATAGCAGACCGCATGCTATCATAAAAATGAAATTCCATTTCAAATCGTTGATTAGGCCTTGCCACAGTTGGCCACAGTAAACACTAAAAAATGCGGATTGACAGCGCGGATTCAGCGTGGGCTGGCTAGCCCTGTTGCAGTGGAAATCAGTTGCAGAATTATTTACGCCCCACACTGCTGTTGCATTGCGGTCAGCTGGACCGGACATGGCAAACGACAGTCCGGACAGACGGACAGCCAGACAGAGGGACAGAGGGACAGACAGATGGCCAACGCTGTTACAGTAGCGGCCGTATTGTTCGATTTGGACCAACATGAGCTCATAAACATCCATTACCAAGGACTCTCACTGAAATCCATTTGTATGTTGCATATGTATGCGCATGTACACACATATATGTATGTGTGTTGAGGCCTTTCGACCATTGTTGTAACGCGCATGTTATCCTTGTTTTTGTTGTTGTTTTTATGTTTGTTTGTTTTTTTTTTCGTGTCCCTGTGGCGTGTATATGAAAATTAAAATTGTTGACAATTGTCATTTTTTGCTGCTGCTGCTGCTTCTGTTGTTGTTGTTTTTGTTATTGTTATTGTCGTTGTCAGTGTTGTTACCGCGGTTGTTGTTTCTGTTGCTCATGCATGTTGTTGTTGTCGGCAATGCCACACGCAACTAACCGCATTTTGATTGCTATGCATTCGCCCGAATCGTGCTCCACGCCAAATTGAATGCATTTTCCGTGCCGTAGTTTCACAAAAAAACAAAAAAGAAACAGAAAACTCCGTCACCAGCTTTGCATGTGTGCTGCAGGCGGAGCCACACTCGCTCGGCTCTGGCTGCCGCTTCAGACGCAGTCTTCAGCCTTCGCCTTTGGCTTGGGCTCTGGCTACGGCTCGGATTTGTTTGTTCTGCTTGTTTGGCTTACTTGGCTGTCGCTTGTTTGATTTGTTGGCTTGTTTTGCATTTTAGCACATCTCAAACATTGCCAGCATGTTTCACTTTATGCTAGACTTAATTCTGTGTGTGTGCAGGTGTTTTCGCAATCTGAACTGAGCTCATGCGACGTGCAATACATTCAGTTTGCAAAGACGCCACCCAGAATTAACAAAAATATTTTCAAATTAATGTGGCTTTTATATAGTACGTGATTTATGTCGTCTGGTCAAAAAACAGGTCCCCCTCCAAAAGCCAAGCTCCGCCCGCTCATTACACATTTTTAGGCACAGACTCTGGCACTTCACAAATGCCCAATGAATGTTGTTGCTGCATTTGCATAGAGCCCGCTTTGGTCAAATATTTGGATAGAACAGGACGTGCCCGGGACTGCATTGCGGTTACACAATCAAAATATGTGCATTCATTCGGTTTGCGGTGCCACTTGCTTTGGCCTCGAAACCTGCAAACGTTTATATCATTTTGAGTGCGTTTATTTAGTGCTTAATGCCAAACCAATGCCAATCACATTCGATTGAAAATCACAAATTATTCGCTGTCTCTTGGCTAATTGATTTTCATAAGCTATTGAAGCTTCACTTCACGCTGAATCGCTCGTAATTAAATGTTTACAATGTTACTTCAAGCATATTTTCTATATCTGGACGTGCTTCGAAAATCGTTGAAAATGACTAAAAAGCCGCGGGGCATGCCATGCTTTGTCTGTGGTGGACACCCTACAGGAAAGCAGCACATGCGGTCATCTTTAAAGGAAATATGAAAAGGTAGTTTTTGCTGAGAGAAAAGCATGAACTTCAGACAGCCCTGGGACTCGAACTGGATAAAGGCCACGAAAGCATTTACTAGCATGAAGACCCAGCGATTTATAAGTACCTTACTTTATCACGTGGGCGTAAGGCGAAAATCATCCACTCGTAAGTACACGCTTCTGTAAAGATTTTTCTTTTAAAAGAATTCCAATTTTAAATACTCTTACAATATAATAGACTATTTGAAATGGATAAAAATCCAAAAATAAGTATACAAATATATATATATAAATATAAAACCTTGAAGAAGACGCGTGACATTATCAAAGATTATAAGACCTACGTTTGATATATATATATATACATATATATATATATATATGTATATATCTATGATCTTTGATAATGCCACTTGTCTTCCTTTAGACTGCCTTGTAGGGAATAGAATATCCGTAAGCATAGTGGCAACATAATCTTGTTGGGTTGCCTTTTTTTCATGCCAGCAGTTCTCGCTGGGTAGACGAGTGAGAAATGCCGCGCCACGGATATATAGAGGAGCAGGACACGATGTGTCTAAGCTGCCGGGGAGCGCTCTTAAGTTCATTAGGGCCACAGAATATAACATAATTATTCACTTACAATTTGCGCCACGACGCCTTAGTTTCAGCTTGTTTATGTGTGGCGTATACGTAATTTTATTTAGATGCCTGAGAGTTACCTCTAAAAAGATTGACGCACAGACTAGGCAAATGGGTGTCGAGGGGCGCAGGGTAGACGGTATGCAACATTTTGGCTTTAAGGGCGTCGCATTTGCAAAGTCAATAACAGACTCAACAAAGTCAACAGACAGGCTGCTAATGCCATTAGAAGACCTCAAACCGCCTGGAAAAGGCGCTCAGCACCAGTCAAGTGCGTGCGAGAGAGAGAGAGGGATCGAGGAGAGAGAGGGACAAAGACAAAGAACAAAATGGAGAAACGTTAGCTTGTTAAACCGCAGCTCATTGCTGGCAAAATAAAACCAACATTGGCTCAGGACGGTTGCCGGCACAGGCCCATAAATTCCAACATTTGCCAATAAGTTGAAAGGCTAAAGTTTTACATTGGTAACCGAAAAATATGCAAAGCAGTCATAATTTTACTTTGCAACGAAATATTTTTGTATAAAATTGTTAGCAAACAAACTTTTTTATGCTTCAACTAATTTCAATCAGCTAACAAAAATGTGCTGCGCCTGCCTCCAACACCCTCGCTCTCTTTCCGTCCAACCAGCATCTCCCCTCGCAAAACTTTTGTCAATAATGTCGACGCCTTAAACCTAAAACCTAAAACCTAAAACCAACCCAACCCGATTGCTTTCTCTGCCGGAGTGTCAAGACAAAGGCGCAAACACAAAGAGCACAAGCTAGAAATGATCCATGCACCTGCCGGGCTGCCGGGCTGCCTCGGCTATTCCGGGCCACCCCGGCTACCCCGGCTGCCCCGGCTTGGCAGAGTTTATTAAGTTGGGTGTCACCTTCGATGTTTTTGTTGTTGCCGCCGCGTTGTGAACTTCTTCGTCATCTCGGCACATTGCAGCAGCCCGCCGCTGGCAATTTTTGTGTGTTTGCAAGTTTGTCTGCTTGTTTTTGTTGTCACTTCATCAGCACGTCGCCTGCCCCAGCTTGGGGCACGGCCATGGGTGCGTTAGCTACTCGTAGATACACATGGATGTGGCAAAAACTCTTAACTTCAAGAGGGCAAAAAATTGATCATTTCAAGTTTGTGTCACCTTTCGCATATTATTTGTTATTGCCTTTGGGCCGATTTGCATAATTGTCAATTGCCATCAATAAAGTGTTTATTAAAAAGTTTTTGTTGGTTTGCCCCAACACACACATTCCAAACGGCGGCACTTCGTGTGTGCCTTTTCACTTACTTGTGCAATTTTCGGCTTGTATCCATATGGAAATGTGCCTGTAATGGCAAATCTGCGAAACTTGTGCAACTCATTAATTAACTTTGCCGCCATTGTTTGCGAATGCTATTTATTCTTGGCGGCTTATCACTGAGCCCAAAGTGGCCGTTGTGCGAAAGTAAATGCTCGCTTGGCTCCGAACCAAAAAGAAAACAATAACAAAGGTGGGATGAGCGGAGAGACTGGGGATCCAGTGTCGAAATGCCAAAGTTTTAATGAGCAGGCACAGGTAAGTAGGCTCGCCCTCTAATTAACATTTAACGAAAATTCATTTAACTTTGCACATGCCATATAACATTAAGACATAGTGCTTTAATTACCAGACCGGTCATCAAACAAATTAAACTTTCCCATACGAATAGCTAAACACACCGCTAAGCAGCCTAGATTAATGGCTAAGAAACCATTATACTCAATAATTCTACAACTCAATAATTTTTAAAGCGCCACCTGTGTGCTCATTTCGGAACTAACGCAACACACAGCAAGCTGGGAACTTAGTTTTGACAAAAAAGCTTTATAGGTACTTATTACTGAATGCTTTAACGGCATATAAGAGCAAGTTTATTTACATGAAAATATTTATTATTTATATATTCGTTTAATTAAAAATGTAAAAATACATTGAAAGCGATTGCATTATAATTCAATTATATTCAATTACATAGAAATGTTATCAATAGCTTTTTAATAAAATACTTATTTTTTATACTTTTTTGCTATAAACAATTCTAACAAGCTTTTGCTTAAGCTTTCTCAAATGCCAGCAAAGGAGCAAAACTTAATAGCACACAAAAGCTTAAACGAACGGTTCCTGGAGCTTTAAGCTCTGCTGCATTTGGAACAAACGATTGTTGGGGACTTTTATCGAGCAGCTACGATAGACATTAGCAGCTTTATACAAATGTATTGCAGTCCAAAATATTCGTAAATTTAATAATTTATAATTAATAAAGAAAGCGGAGTAATAGTTGTGAATATCGACTAGTTTCGGGGCATTCAAAACGTTTAAACAATTTAAATTCAAAATAGAATGTGCAAACGGGGTGGCAACGCCGCATGTGCTCTGCTAGGCTGCAAAGCTATCATGTGCATGCCCTCCCACATGTACTTGTGTGCGTTTGTGTGTGTGTGTGTGTGTGTGTGTGTGTGGGACAGAGAGAGGTTGCGCCCGAATTGCTCTCTTGGCACGCATTTGACTTCACTTACAATTGAATTTCAGTGCGTTCGCGAACAGCCTGACAAAACGTTGTGCCACGAGCGGAAGCGGAAGGCAGGAAAAAAACAACTGAAACTCAAAGCACAGTGAAGTGAAGCAAGAGGAGGGAAAAAGCAGCAAAGAAAACAGTGAAAATTCAAAAATGTTAGCATACTTATACGAGTTTTGACTGCTCAAAACGTTAGTTAATCAATCGCAAAACGAATAACAATCAAATCAATGCACAAAATGTAACAATCTAACCGAAATGTGACCCAATTTCGAACGTGATTCCAAAGTATTTGACTAGCAAAGAGAAATCTGACATAAATGCATTTGCAATCATGCGAATATTTTGCGACATGCAATAACAATAAACTTGTACAATTTTCCTGACTGTTGTGCGTTGTACGCGAATTGCGCAGCTAGTGCATTTTTTGTCGCACTTAAGTGCATAGTACAACAATTACAGTGGAACATAAATATGTAAGATTTGTGTGTGCGAGTGTGTGCGTGCAATACTTCAGCCCCCAAAAGTTTCCCTTGGCTGGCTGACTCTGGCTGCTCTTTTAACCAGCACAGCTGATTGTCAACGGCGCTCCAAGCGAGAGCAGCGCAGCTTTCACCAAACATGTTGGCTTGTTTGGTTTGAGCCACAGAGAGCGAGCACCACCACCAGCACCACCAGCACCAGCACCACCCCCAAACGGGAGCCATTGAGTTCTGCCTGCTGTGGCTAACGTAACGAGTTTCGAGACACGCACACGCCACACGACAAAGTACACGTAATATAGCCATAATCAAAGGTGGACGTTGCCGTTGCCGTTGCCGTAGCCCAGGTCAACAGCTCGGAGTGGCACGCACACACGTGTGTGCGTGTGTGTCTGTGGTAAGTGCATAAATTGTATCATCTCGATGGTACTTTGCAAGTTTTACAGGCCAGCTGAATGGGCTCAAATGAAATATTTATGTGTTTCGGTTAGCATCTCCAACCTACACCCTTTGGCTTGAGCAGGTCCTGAGTTAAGCTGAAACTAAATATATCATTAAATGTTCGGTTGGTTGTCTTTAAACCCGGTTGCCAGGCATATTGCAATTGTAATTATGTCGGTTTCCGGGTAACCATTGTTATTTATACTTATTATTTACAGATACAATTCGCTGGAATTGAAAAATCAGATTTCTTACTTTTCGTTTGCGTTTCCGCATTTAATAGCGACGTGTGCTGAGCGTATGGAATAACACCTGTTTTCCCCAGAAATGCTTTTAAACACAGGCACTCAAATAGATTGAGGGGATCTGTTTTCATGCTCAATACGAATGTGCGGGCGGGAAGGGGGAGGGGGGTGTAGGCTGTGGGGGTGTGTGCCAGGGTAGTGAAAGTGGTGTGCACATACGCCAGTCATACTTATCAACACCTCTGCATACACGCCCGCCAACATATGTGCATATGTATTTATGTATTTATGTCGGCACTTGTGTTTGCTTCTGTTGCTTTTGTATTATTCATTCCTTCACCAGCTGCAGACACACTCGAAGTCCCGGCCGAGCACTTAAATCGCGTCTGTATTTTCAGTCATTTGTAATATAATGTTTTCCGGTTGCATATTTATTTTCGTTTTAATTGAAAACATATGTACTCATATATATGCCGATATTGTTCTAAATATATACTTCTATTAGACAGCGTGGGGTAGGTTATTCCCAACTCATTCCCAACTATTCTCTTTGCTGACCACGCCAAAATTGGACGTGTGCATTTATTATTATTCCTCTGTCAATTGTTTACTGTTTGTTTATTTGTAAAATAAATACAATATTTGATAAGCAATTTCCGATTTTATTAAATAGGCAAAATGTATTCTATATAAACCACACCCGATCAACATCCCCTCTTTTCGTCTGTCTAATGTAACTCTGAGTCTGACTGTAGATAAAACATGCAACATCTAGGCTGTCTCGTCATTAAGCACTCCGCACACACACACACACACACTCGCAACTATAGTTGGTGTGCTTGTGGGTGGTATTAACTGGGTCAAAACATAAATTGTAATGGCAAACAATCACAACTAATTAAAATTGCAATCATTGTTAAGCCATATCGGCTGCTAGGATTAGTTTCAATATTCAATAAGTGGAGAAGGATTTGACTTCATTAGCGCTCAAGTATTTTTTTTCCCATTTCAAGAGCTTAACATGGCTTAATAGCTAAAGGTACTCAACTGGGAGATACCCTTTGGGCAAGTTTAATGAACATTTATTTTTTACAATACACTGATTTAATGTTAAATGTTGCTGATAAGTTTTCAAAAGTCAATCACTTTGGAATATTACGAAAGAAATTTATTGAACTTTATTTCAAATGCCAACCGCACTAATGCTAAATGTTAGGCTCAAATTTTCGTATGTTTCGCTATTATTATGTCAGAGCTTAATCTAGAATCTGGGATTGAGTAGATATCCTTAAAAAATATACCTTATTTATTCAGTATGTGAGAATATGTCTGCTTCTGTTTGTTAAACAACTTGCGCAGTTGTAATCAATTCATACTACAGTGAAAACTCTGCTAATGGACACTCCTGTTAGACGAACAGCTCTCTTGCGAATACATTTAATTATGATTCAATTATTAGTATATTCTCCCTCTATTCGGCTCTTCTTGTATTGAGTCTAGACTTCTCTTGAGAAGAGAGTTTCTACTGTATATTTATTTACAACTTACTTACGACAATCAGAAAAAGTTTGTGTGAGGAAACACGTGAAAAGTTAGCAGCCATTAATATTCCTAATTAAATAAATAATGCTTTTATATTATATAAAGTTTCAATAATTTAAGCAATAAACAATGCTTGTTTGTGCACTTTCAAGCAATCTTAGGTAAACAAAAAATATGAAGCTCTCGGACACAATGGCGACACCGATTGAGGAAAAACTCGATCAAAATTTGAAGGTATGCCAAAAAGAAAACTTTAGAATACTTATGCAGATGCTCATTAATCATAAAAAACTAAAACACAAAAAATGCATGCAACAGGTGCGTTCGGGCATGGTTCATGTCAGCGATGGCAAAAGTAGACCCGAACCACTCAGACTAAGTCTAACAATGGAATTGTTGACCTTGCAAAAGTTGGAAATTGTTACGCCAACAAGCTCACAGCACAATGGACCCCCAATGGAATCCAAGGTATGTTAATAAACTTTGGCTATATTCATTTAGCACACTCAGCTGTAATCTCTGGGAACATGGCTGCGAACAATCCTTGAACATTTCAGGAGCGCATGGTGCAAATAACGAGGCAGAAACAGGGCGGCCTAGGACTGAGCATAAAGGGCGGCGCCGAACATAAGTTGCCCATATTAATATCGCGCATCTACAAGGATCAGGCGGCCGACATAACCGGCCAGCTGTTTGTCGGCGATGCCATCATAAAGGTGAACGGCGAATATATAACTGCATGCCCGCACGATGATGCGGTCAACATACTGCGCAATGCCGGCGACATTGTGGTCCTCACAGTGAAGCACTACCGCGCCGCCACACCGTTCCTGCAGAAGCAATGTGAGCAGCACACACACACAAATGCCGGACATAACGAATTCCATTAACCACATTCAATCAATGTTTTATAGTAACAAAAGATACACCCGATTCCGACAACGATGCCACATGCGCCGAGCTAAAAGCAGACGAGGGCTACAAGTCCTCGGTGAACAGCGGCACCATAAGCCGCAGCTGCAGCCGACCCATGTCAATTTGCTCGGAGCCCGAGAAGCGCTGGACCGACGTGGTGGCAGGTAGGACCGCATAGCTAACCCAGCCAACCCACTCGAGTGCCTTGTTACTCAGCCTCCATTTCTCGCCTCTCTCTAGTACCGCTAATGATGGCCTATGTGACGCGCTACATCTACGGCACGGACAAGCTGCGTCCCAATGCCTTCGAGGTGCGCGGCCTGAACGGCGTCACCACCGGGGTCATACACTGTGATGAGCTGGCGATACTCAGTCAGTGGCTAAAGCTGATAACCGACAACGTGGTGGGTCTGACCCATCTGCAGGTAACACTCCTTTAACTTTCTTAAGTAACTCCATTCCATATTGCCAACTAAATTTGTGTATTTGCTGGACAGATGAAACTCTATAATCGAAACTTTGCCGTTGGCGAGCGAATCGAGTACATGGGCTGGGTGAACGAGGGTGTTATCAATAACAACATATCGTGGCAGAGCTATAAGCCCAGATTTCTAGTGCTCAAAGGAACAGAAGTGATGCTGTTCGAAACGCCTCCGGTAAGTCTGAATAATTATTCAATTAATTACTTTTATCTTAGCTTAAAACTTTTATTATTGTATAGAATTGAACATTTTTGAATTTCCATGAGCAAAAAATAATTATTATTATTATAATATTAATCTTTAAGCCAAGCCAGTTACCTAAAAGTATCCTGAAGCGAAACGCGAACCAAGCCAGATTTGTTTACAAAATAATTTGTTTTTAAATTAAAAGCTTTTCATGCAAAAACTAGGCTCAATGCATAAAAATAACTGCGGCGCCAACCAATGCAATCATCTAACCATATTTGTTAGATGCGAATTGTGGTTAGAAATTAAACGTATATGCAAATATGTGAGGCTTGCAATATTTACAGTAGACAGGGTAATTTTAAATTACAAATTTATTTATTTCATTAAAAGTATACATGAAATGAATGACAGGGAATTCTTTTAAGAACGACTTATATATGTAACATACATGCGTGTATATTGAACAATCTGTTCATCTATTGACAGATTTTAATTAAATCAAAATAAATTTGTATCTCCTAAGTTAATTTCTCTAGAATTTCAGCTTCTCAGTATTTGTAATATTTTCTGTCTTACAATTATTTAAAAGTTCTACTATTCAATTTAAAGCTTATTTGTATTCACTTGAAATTGTCAGCCTTATTATGGGCTCAAATGTAATTGGATATGGCTGCATTTTCAGTCGGCTTTGTTCTGGCGCGCAGCGTGTGCACATTTGCCTAAAGTTGTTCAAAGCAACTGCACTCTACGCTGCGCTAATTTTATGTGTCAAGATAGAACCACCCACCGCCCACGCACACTCACATGAGCCCAACCCTGGCGCACACACTCACACACATTCGCACTCAAAGAGATACACACGTGCATAAAAATTGTACTTTTGCTCTAATGAGCAGCCTTTGCACTGCAAATGCAACTTTCATAAAATGTTGGCCCACGGCATGTGCAACGTTTCTGCATAGACATTCCCGCTCCCGTCTCCCTCCCTACCCTCCCCCCCCACGCGACAGTGTATAGTTCTCCTGATTGCCAGCAGATATGTGTGCACTTAATGCTCTTTAAAATTAGATTACTTGTGTTAAGCTCGTTTCTTGGGGCTGTAAATTTGTGGCATTAGATTTTTTTGGCATTTGCAATTTGATAAAACGAAATCATTTTATTGCAGCTGAATGTGGCAGGCATAAGCAAAGCTTTGGTCGTCTATAAGGTTTACCAGACCATGTTTCGCATTGTTAAGGAATCCGAGACCGTGGACAGTCGACAGCATTGCTTCCTGCTGCAAAGTTCTGGACACGAGCCACGTTATTTGAGTGTGGAGACCCGCCAGGAGCTGCTGCGCATCGAGAACAGTTGGAATGCGGCCATAGTGACCAGTGTTATAAAATTGGGGGTAAGTACCACACATACCAACACTAGATATCCAATGGGATGGCCGAGTCAGGCCTGTCCCCCTGACCTCCATTTGAAATGCACAGACTTTGTTCCCCTGTTGATAATTTCGCATGTGTGTTTGTAATTAGCCGCCCGGCTAGGCACTATGCAAACGCCGAGTATCGTGATTGCCGATTGCTTGTTAATTTATAAACAAGACCCCCCACCCCCCCTCCGCTCGCCTTAATTGGCCTTGAGCTAAAGGCCATGGTTACTGACCTCAAGGGCAATCGATATGAGTACAAAAGAACTGCCCATTCGAGCATTCAAATGTTGCAGTTACATAAAAATAAAAGATTCTACCTAATGTAAATTTTTTGGTATGTTAACAATCAAAAAGGACAAACATTTGAAATAAGTTCATAAATTTAAAACGCAATTATCATTATTGCTTTTAAATTTCATTTTTCCCATATTCATAAATTATTTAGTAGCTCGTGTTGAATTTCAAACTTTAGTCAAAGTTTTTGTTTACTTCTATCTGAAAAAAATAATTGCCAAAAAGTTGGCGACATTTTGTTTAATGTTGCAAGTTTTTCTCACACACACACACACCCCTCTGTGTGTGTATACACAACACTTGTTAGCCGTTAAAAAGTCAAAGCAAAGCCAATGACCGACGAAAGCGACGCACACAGAAAAAGGACATTTTGGCAAACGCCAGAATCGATACGAATTCGCAATTGTTTGGTCGAGCACACAGGACAGGACACAAAGGGATTATTGAACTTTTGTGCTCTGTTGTTTTTGTGGCTATTACAGACAGCTAGAATATTGGTATTGAAAGTGCGTCCGATGGAGCGTATACTTAATATATTAGCAGTTGATTTCAATCAATAAAGCGTGCAGCCCGCCCACAAATGTATCCAGCTAATAACTACATCTACGGCCATATCTATATCAACATCTATATATTAAATGTATATGTGTTTATAGCGCAAGACCTTTGCCGTTTCACATCACGGCAAAAGTGGCGGACTGACACTTGACTGGCAGGCGGGCTTCTCTTTGACAGAGGGCGCCGATTCCACCATGGTCTGGCAGTATAAATTCTCTCAGTTGCGCGGCTCCAGCGACGATGGCAAATCAAAGTTGAAGCTACATTTTCAGGACAACGAGACGCGGGCCATCGAAACAAAGGCAAGTTACATACACTACGACTATATTTAGACACATCAATTGGTTAATCCTTATCAAGCTAGCTGTTAGCTATATATAATTCATACCATTTATTCTATCACTCGTATATCTACAGGAACTAGAGTGCCAGGTACTGCAGAGCTTGCTATTTTGCATGCATGCGTTCCTCACCGCCAAGGTTGCTTCCGTGGATCCGGCATTCTTGAGTTCCATACAGCAGACCTAAGCTTGGCTACATCATATTGATATATGCAGAATCAAAACATTTATAAGCTAAGCGCAACTACAAGTTGTATTTCAAAAATACACATCAATTATATAAGTACATAAGCTAATAAACGAATATACAGGCTATAATTATGCAGTGTGTAAGTAAGCAGGAAATAGATGCAAATGTTTTGTATGTTTTATGGAATTAGTTAAAATTGACTAGCCTAAATATTCAGTTAGATTTGATATACCGAATATACTATAATATTTAATGTAAACATTTGCATACACACACACACACTCACACACACACACGCATACATGCATATAAATCATAATAATTATAAAACAAATAGTAGGAGGAAAGTGAATGATAAAATTAATGTGAAATCTCTTGGTGCAACACATGTAAATTTAAGCGTGCTCTAGGCTTCTTTCCTATAATCAGTTAAAGTTGTCAATATGTTTATATACATATATATATATATAAACTGAACAATTAGAAATTACACTTAGATACGTATTTGATTTATCTATCTTAGGCTCTATGCAAGTACTCTAATCACGAAACGAAAGCGACTTTGTCATCTGAAAACGAGAGATCGAAATCGAATTGAGTCAAGCTCATTATTTTGTCAACTAAAACATTTTAAATGAATGGAAACGATGTGCATTATAGTGAAAATATAATTTTCAATTTTAATGAAAATGCTATTGTTACAACTAGTTATTGATTAATAATAATGTTGCGCTTTTTATATATTATATCATTTAACCTTTTATTTTATAAGCATGCATCTCATCTGGGCGCATGGACAAAAGTTCAAATTTGATTTTAATCTAGATGCATAATGAAAAGTCAATATTCTTCTTGAAATACACACACACACTCACACACACAGCCACCGAAATTCGCATTCATATTTAAACTAGATTTTAAATCAAGCCTCAATTTAAGTAATTCCTTTGTAAATATATACTATATATACACACATATATATATATATATAGATATATGCGAGTAATTATGGCTCATAAACATGTCGTGCGTCAATTCAAATGTGTCTTTCAATTGAGCGAAAACACATCCATCAAGTAAACAAATCAATGCAACAAACATACAACTGGAGAAACATAACAATATTTGTTGCTCATATTCATTAAGCATTTCCAGTGGAACAAATGGTTGATTTATTGTACACAAATCAGTTTTACTCAAACTTAGACAGTCGAAACAGCTTAATAATATTAAATATATATGCGCTCATATATATAACATATATATTCGCATGCCAGAAACTGTAAACGCAACTCATCAACGCAATCATATCAATAATATCAATTATCAATTATCAAGCCCACGTACTCACTTGTAGATGTGCACACATACATAGATACAGGTGCACACAAGACAAAGCTAAATGTGACAGGATATTGCAAGTTTCCACAGAAACAACTCCATATATATATACACTGAACCATAATTCATCAGAATACTTCGGCTTGCTGAAGAGCATCATACCAGTGCATCCTATCTGTGTCCTTTGAGTCGAGAGCGCTCGTTACGGGTATACCCAATATACCCTGTATTTATAGATTAAAAAGGGCTTAAGAATGTGTTCCGTTCCGATTGCATGAAACTCATATTTTTATGGCTCAACAAACGAGTCGATTTTTCTAAATTCATTTGAAATTCGAGCTATTGAAACCAGCATTGGAAATGAATCAAATATAAATAAAACCCTTGGGTATTATATAGTCAAACACTTGCTTACATTTTTGATAATTATGATTCGTCCGATTATTAGTTAAACTTCCATACTTGTGCAATGGTAGGCAATAGTTGCATACATATAAATATCCCATATATATTCATATATTATACACACATTCAGCCATGCAAAAATACAAAAAAAGAAAAGTTATTTACGTAGACTGCAAATTTACAACCAGAAAATCCCTGCAGAAGAAAAATATGAAAAAGGGGCACCACATAGCAAAAAATGTATAAGCGCTAACTGAATGGTCGAATATTAGAACAGACTTCATACATATTTACAAGATAATTGAAGTAATTAAACTACTGTATACCAAGTTACAAAACAATATATATTATATATATATACATATGTAAAAGTACTAATATATATAACAAATTGAGCACGTTCAGGCATTTTTCGGGTGTTTAGCAATTCATTCATTCAATTCGCAGTTTCGATGCCTGAACCAAGGCTTAGAGGCTGAACAAGCTTTTGAAATGTTTCTTCGTTGAGAACTCCAAACTCCAAAATTTCCCCCCTTTAAGGCACCTAAACAGACCAAAATACGTAAAATGCACCACAAATAATCAATAATATAAAAAGCACAACAGAAATAATTGTCCTGTCGCAAACTATTTTTTAAACAGCATACGTAAACAAGCAAGAAAATAGTTAACTTCGGTTTGCCGAAGATTAAATACCCTTGCTGAAGGAAGATATTATTTAATGCAATGCATTTTCTTCTAACCTAGTCTTTGAATTTTCATGGTAACTATAGAGTATAGTTATCCGATCCGAAACTGTCAGAAGGACTTATTAAAGTATATATATTTACTGAATTAGCAGAAATATGTCATTCTCTGCAAGGGTATTTGAACAACCGCAACGAATACCAAAAAATAATCTGTGCATACCAAATAAGGCGCTCAGATCCCGACATACGTATCACACATAAGTATTACTGCATATTTTATTGAGCTAAAACCTTTATAGGGAATATCTGTGTACGTTTGCTTGGCCGTGCAGATAAATATTGTTATTTTTAAATATATATATATATATATAGAACGCACAAAACAAGACAAAAGAACGCTGCTTACAAATTCAGATACATTTACATTCATCCGCATGCGTTCAGCTTTAAATGTAAACATTTGACTTTCATCTATAAATCTTTTAGTTACACAAAAGTCACCAATTATTAGTACGTATAATTGATTTGCAATTTTTATATATTCCAAATATATGAACTTAATAAATGTATTCGTTGAAATGGGAGTTTGACGAAAATGAATTAAGAAATAATAATAATAATAAAATAATGCTCTTAAATATGCAACTGAAGGAAACTGTTTGAAAATCTTTGATTAAATGAAAGCAAAGTAATTATTTTAATTGGGAGCACTGGAAAAGTAAATCACAGGTGGGTATAGCTTATTCAGTAAAGGTTATACAAATGTTTAACAACAGTTAGCCAAACGTTTAAGCCCTTATACTTACTGTTCACCGGGAATTTCCTTCTTTGGGCCAATTTCATGACTGCGCTTTTTGCTGCTTAGAAACTGTCTCCCCCTATTATTACCTCCCAAAATAAAAACACATGTGTTTTTTTTTGTTATTCCAACTTAAAATACATTTATTTAATAGAACATAAATGAACTGAGCATAAATTGAATACCTTTGATATTTGTTCATCACATTGCACTTTCACATGGCTGCGTGAAAGTGCATTGAAAATCAACTCTTAACGCAAAAAGTTGTTCAACTTAATCATAAATTCAAAGCAAAGTTGATGGCTGCCAACTTTGCTTTTGGTTTTTAACATTTTTTTTTTTCAGATAACACTTAAAATTAGATACAAATTTATAACAGAAAACAATGTGAATACATGTAAATTGTATAAATGATGGCAAAATCTTTTTATGGCTGTATGAAAAAGACTTTGCCTGAGTTAAGCATATAAAAAGTATTTGGCAGGGATATATTTGTTGACACAACTACAAATTGGTAATTAGATAAGCTACTGATGGCTTAAACCTATATACATAACACATTGTGGCTAAAAGCTTCAGCTAAACAAACATTCGAGCTATACGCACTATATAATAAAGCTATTTAGGTTCGTACATATACAAACTCTGACATCCATTTTGGGGATCTTGAGAGTGAATCGTACCTTTAATTCCCTGTTGCATATGCACACAAACTTGGCTAAGTGCAATATCAATATCAATATCAATTAAACAATTACAATTTCGTTTTTGTTTACTTAAATTGTTCTGTATTATCTACACAGCGTTTTGGTAAATATACAAGCATACCTTTATGTATGCATAATATGGTGTACAATATATTTATATGTATGTTATATATATGAGTAGGGTGTATTTGTGTAAATGCAGCGCAACATGAAACTACGGGCTAATCTTAACTGTAGGCTTATGGTTTTGAGCTACAACATTTTTCATTTTTCTTTGGTGTCGAAACCTAAGTAAGTACGTTGTATGCGAAATTTGCATTAGATTCCTAGGTGCGTGTTGCCCAAGAGCCAAGCTAAAAGTTGAACATAAATAAATTCTACACACATTCAAGTTGATGTTAAGCTTGATGTCAAGGTTGATATTAATGTAAAAGTTGTTGGCAAATCTCTATCAAATCTATACGTAATACACCTGAAAACGTGCAAACGGCCGAACTCAGACATCGGCAGCATCGTCTGCCTCGCCGTCAGCCAGACGCACCAGTGTGACAGTCACCTCGGTGGTAACTCCATTGACCGCCAGCTGCTGATCCCGCCAAGGAGTTGTTAGAGTACGCAAACGCTGCCTGCAGCTGCCGGGTGTAACAATGAGCTTATAAATGGCCACCGCCGGTATCATAATCACCGAGGAGCCGGCTATGCACCAGCCCAAGGCGTTTGCCCAGCTGGGGTACACGTAATCGCCATAGGTGAGCGGCTCGTAGCCCAGCAGGCCGTAAACCGTGATGAAGAGCAGGAAAATTGGGGCCACGAAGCGCCAGCACACCTGCCAATACATGCCCGGCGGAAAGCCAATCATATCGTTAATATCATCGCTAAAACGCTTTGTGCCATAGATCCAGGAAACGGCAATCGCCTCAAAGAACACCGCGACGAGTATGGAGTAGCCGGCGGCATAGCGATCCAACAAATGAAAGAAATAGAAACCGCCCTGGGTGCAGCTGGCCAAGCCAACGACAAAGTACAGCGAGAACAGCCCGGCCACAAAGAGTTCGCGGTTTCTCTTAATCTTGGGAAACTCGTCACTTAAAGCCGTGATAATAGCCTCCGATCCACCAAACTGTCAAAAGAAGCAGAGCAGAACGAGCGCAGCAAATTAGTGTTTTCCTCTTTCCATGCTGACCTGCTGGACAAATTGAATACTCACCGAGCTGTCCAGCCCGAGCGTTAGCAGCATCATGAAGAAGATGAGCGCCCAGAAAATGCTGCCCGGCATAGTAGCAATGGCCGCAGGATAAACAACAAACACCAGACCCGGACCCTCGGTGGCCACATCCTCGATTCGCACGCCCGATGTGTGCGCCATGTAGCCCAGCACGGAGAAGATCACAAAGCCGGCCACAAAACTCGTGGCCGAGTTTATGAAACTGGTAAGCAGAGCATCCCTGTAAACATACATAACATAGTTCATGAAAAACCCATGGAATATATAGAAGCTACTGCTACAACAAATCAGGACATACTTGTAGACATTGTTGTGATATTTGTTGTAGGATGCGTAGGCGAGCAGCACACCAAAGCCCGGACCCAGGGAGAAGAACACCTGCGTGGCCGCATCGACCCACACCTCAGCCTTGAATATGGCATCAAATTTGGGACTCAAATAATACTGTATGCCCATGGCCGAGCCCGGCAAGGTGATGCCGCGTATTAGCAAAATAAGCAGCACCGCATACGGAAAGAGCGCCGTAAACCAGACCACTTTACCGGAAGTACTAATACCCTTCCACAACGAGAAGTAGCAGATCAGATAAACAATAAGCAGACACAGTGCCATGTCCCAACGTATTTTGCCCAGATCGTGGATGCCTTCGCTGTGATTCAGCTCAAGTATATAGCGGCTGTAAATGGGATAGAAATTGAGTCCAAATCGTGTACGTGTGTGTGTGTGTGCCACTCACTTAAAGTACTCGGAAGCGGCCGATTGGAATCTCTCGACGGGCAGAACGGGTGCCAAGCTGGCAAATGTAACATTCGCATACGACTCGTTGGCAAAGAAGAGACTCTGATTGTTGAACGCATAGAAATCGCTCAGATTGCCAACCAGAGGACGTGAATTCTGACCCTCGAACTGCGAAGAACAAAAAGTGAATATAAATAAAATAAATGTGGGATTAATGTTAACTGAGTTGACTTTACCGGCTTGCAGTTGGGCGTATTCCAGGGATTATTACACGACGTCCAGGGCAGCACGCTGGTGAAGGATGCGAAGAAGAAACGCAGCGACCACGCAATGATCACATTGTAATAGAAGTCCACATAGAAAGCTATTAGCACAACAGCGTAACCGATGCCTAAAATATATGTAAGTATATATCCTCCTTAAGTGCATCAAATATTTATGTATACCCCCTTTTGTACTCACCCTTAAAAAGCGGCACCAGACGCCCCCAGCAGGTGATGGCGCCCTTACGATTGTGCTGTCCCAGGGCCAGCTCCATGTAGAATAGAGGTATGCCCCCCACAACCAACATAATGCAGTAGGGCACAAGAAAGGCGCCTGCAAATATATGCACATATATATATATATATTATATTTAATCTAACATCATTTTTTAAAACTTTTCTAGGCAATGCTACCAGAACTTTTAAGACGAACTCTTCAGTTCCCCGGCGTTTTGCCCACCTGGAAGCTATTTAATCATATTATCCAACATCGATCCAAATTTCCTAATCAGGCACTTGAATTTCAACCACTTTTGGTTCCGATTTAACCCGATACTGAGTATGTATTTAGAAATTAAAATTCGAAGATTAAAATTCGTATAATATGAATTCAACAATATGCTTGATATTTATATTTTTAGCAGGCAGTAAAACGTCTGCAGTCTATAGTAATTAGTCAAATCTTAGGATCCATAAAGTATATATTATCTTGGACAACATCAATAGCTTTCCGTCCGTCCATCCGTCTGTCCGTCAGTCTGTCCGTCCGTCTATCCGTCCGTCTCCCCTTCCCTCCGCCCGTCTAGCTCTACGTCTATCCGTCCTTCTCTCTATTATCTTGGACAACATCAATATCTGTCCGCCCGTCCGTCTGTACGTTAGTCTGTCCATCCATCTGAACGTCCGTCCTTCTCTCCGTCCTTCTCTCCGGCCGTCTCTCCGTCCGTCCCTCTGTCCGTCCGCCTCTCCGTCCGTCTCTCCGTCTGTCCCTCCTTCCGACTATCCGTCCGTCTCTCCGTCCGTCTCTCCGTCCGTCTCTCCGTCTGTCCCTCCATCCGTCTATCCGTCCGTCTCTCCGTCCGTCCGTTCATCCTTCCTTAGGTCTTCTCGTCTTTCCGTTCGTCCATCTGTCTGTCCGTCCGTCTTTCCGTCTGTCTATCCGTTTTGCCGTCCGTCCGTCTTTCCTTCTGTCCGTCCGTCCGTCTATTAGCACGTTTTTGTCGTATGTGTGTCGATCTCACAACCTATAAGAGCTTTTGAAGATAGGTCCTCCCAGTGCCCGCGCAGTACTTGTTTAGTTTAGACGCTAGAATAGTATATACTGATTCAGTATCTTTCATTTTGTAGCTGCCACCACCAAAACGGATAAGGATGCCTAGTCGGGCACTCCCGATTAGATCACCTCTTACTGGCTTATACATTTTTAAATAAGTTTTAAGGCGAAAGATATACCGCAACAACAGCAAAAGCAAACTTTGAAATTATCAATAATAATAATAATAACAATTATAATTATAACATAATAATATTAATAGGAAAAAATCTGTGTCAATCTCTGACCCCTTGGGAAAGTTCATTTAATAAGCACTGCATAATATGGGAAATGAGATTTGGCTGCAGCAAACTTCGATTGGGCAGCGCCGTTGTGATTAAAGCGCAATCAAGTTTTATAATATTTAACAACACCCGAGGCACTATACATATTATGAATAACAATGTGTGATGGGTGTGTCTATGTGAGTGTGTGTGGCTGTGGGTGTGGGTGTGATTGACCCGTGTCAGTGTCTGTTTTTGTCGCTCTATGGCTCGAACAGA